GAAACAGGTGAGTACAATCAGGGATTAACACGAGGTAACAAGGTGGGCGTGGCACACACGAGGATCGGACGGAGCTGGGTGTGACACAGACAACTTTATGGCTTTAATATTGAGTGTGTTTAGCAGCTACAAGGACAAAAGATATTAAAAAGCTCCCCATAGTAATGGTAATTTAATAAACATAAATAGACAACACATAGTTTTGCCTAGTCTAGCGCCTGTGTGTTTTCTGTTAAAGTGATAGTATATCACTACAGTGTATAAACCACCTTTTTGTTTTGTGATAATTTGAACTACTCCCATAAGTACATAGCGATATTGAAGGAAAATATTTATTATAATAAATAGCAGCATTTTAGAAATCGAAAAAGTAATGTAATCTCATAAAAATATTTTTTTTAAAAGATGCATCGATTTAAAATATTGATATAGATACATTTTCAGCATCAACGTCGTCTACTATGTCGGCTAATCACAGCAGCCAAAGTTCAGAGCTCTTCACTGAAGAGTCTTTCATGAAGACCCCGGTTGGCATGCAAAAGCTGAAGGAGGGTGCTGTGCCAACTTTGTTTCCCTGGAGTAAAATCATTGTGAGGCCTGTAAAGAGGGCTCTTCTCAGAGAAACTACACGACATTTTTTCCGTGCAGTTAAATTACCAATCCACAATGCATTGAGTTGAGGAAAGTGACAAGTGTATTCCTGAGCAGAAATGCATTCCCTACCCTGGGTTCCATGCAAAGTACCTTATCAATATTGTCACACCTGTTCCACCCTCTTCCTGGTGAGTGGGCAAAGACACAGCTGACAACCATTTGCACGAATTACTTAACCCAGTTGTTGCTTGCCCTGCCCGACCTACCCTCAAATCCGGACCCCTGTTCTCTCCTTGAAGTTCCCTGGTTTGCCTCCCTCCTGTGTCAAGTCTCTGTCCCTGAACTGATCCACGACTTCCGACCTCCTGGCTTTCATATACCCCAACCTCAGTTCTGCCTAGTGATTTCACGTCTGATACCTGGGCCCTGAGCCTCTCCAGGTCCGTTATACACAGCAGCAAGAGACGTGACTCCACTAATTACAATCTTTTATTAACAATCACAATAATAAAACACCATCCACACTACAAAATAAAACCTCCGGGCTGGTGAACAGGATGGGAGGTTAAGCAGTAG